CTTTTTTGAGTGTTCTTTTTTCTAAATTGTCATGAAAAGTATTGAGTATATTTTGCATTTTCTGCTCAATTCCTTTTTTAAGTTTTTTTCTTTTTCTAAGGAAACATAAGTTCCCTTTTATAATAAGAATTACTGTTTCCCCCCATGAACAGTGATATAAAAGTCTTTTTTTTTAATTAGTTGTTCAAAACATTACAGAGCTCATGATATATCATCTTGCATACATTTGACTCAATTGGGTTATGGACTCCCATTTTTACCCCAAATACAAATTGCAGAATCACATCGGTTACACACTCACATTTTTACATAATGGCATATTAGTGACTGTTGTATTCTGCTACCTTTCCTATCCCTTACTATCCCCCCTCCCCTCCCCTCCCATCATCCCTCTCTACCTCATCTGCTGTTGTTCAATTCTCTCCCTTGTTCCCCCCCTTTCCCCTCACATCCTCTTCTATGTAATTTTGTGTAACATTGAGGGTCTCCTACCATTTCCATATGCTTTCCCTTCTCTCTCCCTTTCTCCCCCCACTCGTCTTTGTTTAATGTTAATCTTTTCCTCATGCTCTTCCTCCCTGTTCTGTTCTTAGTTGCTCTCTTTATATCAAAGAAGACATTTGGCATTTGTTTTTTAAGGATTGGCTAGCTTCACTTAGTTTAATCTGCTCTAATGCCATCCATTTCCCTGCAAATTCTATGATTTTGTCATTTTTTTATTGCTGCGTAGTACTCCATTGTGTATAGATGCCACATTTTTTTTTATCCATTCATCTATTGAAGGGCATCTAGGTTGGTTCCACAGTCTAGCTATTGTGAATTGTGCCGCTATGATCATTGATGTGGCAGTATCCCTATAGTACGCTCTTTTAAGATCCTCAGGGAATAGTCCGAGGAGGGCGATAGCTGGGTCAAATGGTGGATCCATTCCCAGCTTTCCCAGGTATCTCCATACTGCTTTCCAAATTGGCCTTACCAATTTGCAGTCCCACCAGCAGTGTACAAGTGTACCCTTTTCCCCACATCCTCGCCAACACTTATTGTTGTTTGACTTCATAATGGCTGCCAATCTTACTGGAGTGAGATGGTATCTTAGGGTGGTTTTGATTTGCATTTCTCTAATTGCTAGAGATGGTGAACATTTTTTCATGTACTTGTTGATTGATTGTATGTCCTCCTCTGTGAAGTGTCTGTTCAGGTCCTTGGCCCATTTGTTGATTGGGTTATTTGTTATCTTATTGTTTAATTTTTTGAGTTCTTTGTATATTCTGGATATTAGGGCTCTATCTGAAGTGTGAGGGGTAAAAATTTGTTCCCATGATGTAGGCTCTCTATTCACCTCTCTTATTGTTTCTCTTGCTGAGAAAAAACTTTTTAGTTTAAGTAAGTCCCATTTATTTATTTTTGTTATTGACTCTTGGGCTATGGGCGTCCTATTAAGGAATTTGGAGCCCGAGCCCACAGTATGTAGATCATAGCCAACTTTGTCTTCTATCAGACGCAGTGTCTCTGATTTGATATCTAGCTCCTTGATCTATTTTGAGTTAACTGATATAAAAGTCTTAATGACCATCATTATATGTCTTAAACATATAGTATAGTATTTATATAAATATAGCTTTTAAAAATTATTTTTAGTTGAAATAGCTTTACAATATTAAGGAAATTTTAAGATAGTTCTCTCTTAATCCTGCTACTCTAGTGTAATTGTTATTATTTCACCATTTAGCATCTTTATTCAATGTGTATATAATTTTAAACAGTTATAATTTTAACACAAACACAATTTTGGAATCTGCCTTTTTAAACTAGTTTAATTTCACAAATACTTTTTGACATTATCACACGGTAGTGAAATTTTTTTTGAAATGTCTGTATAATATTCCTTTGAGTTAACTTATTTTTTCATTCCCCAATGACTGAGTTTGTTTCCAATTTTTTGCTATTTTATTTAATGTTCAATGAACATCTTTGTAAAGATATTTTCTCTATAGAACTTTATTATTCTTTTGTTACAATAAATCCCAAGCATTACATTTCATAAGCCAAAACAGTGTAACCATTTCTGTCTTTGGTTTTCGTTTTAGTTGTTAGCCTAATTATTTTAGTTTTATTATTAGTTATTTGTCTCTATGCTTAAATTCTATTGTTGTATTTATTACTTGTAAAAATATTTGAGTGATTCTTATTGCTGGCTGTTGGATTTTGGTTTGTATGAATCAGACTTATAAAGAACTGCCATAAAGCAGCAGGTCTGGAGGAAGTCCCCATAAATAGAGTGGGAACATTTTGTAGGTTTCTGAGCGGATTCTGTAACTATATAGTGGGAAAATCTGTTCTGCAGGAACTTGGGATATAATATTCCCTTAACAGTTAAGAAAATGAAACAACATAAAAAACAGTATAAGGATGTTAGGACAATTTAAGAAATAACCAAATCTATTAAATACTTAAGAAGTAGGAAGTTAAACCAGCAGTTTAAAACACGTGCTTGATCAAGCTGAAGACTCCATATACTCTTGTTGGCTCACCACTTAGTTCTCTATAGAGAAAGCAATTGTTCTGTTTCCTTCCTATGTTTTATAAAAATTTATAGGTGAGAAACTCATCCCCAGCCTTAGTAACACTATTTTTTAAGCAGATGACTTGTTGTCTTTAATGTCATAACAGTCATGCAAAATGTATAGTTCCCAGCCTCAATTCATTTATAATTACTTACATTTATTAAAAGGAATCATAACAAAAATCCATTCTAATTTCATTTATTAAAGCAAGTGACAAGCTTCTTAATGATTGGGTTATAACTGGATTTTTTTTTTTAAAATACTGGTGGTTAAATTTTCATCTGTGAAACTCTGATTTTTACATTCTCACTCCCTTTTCCTAGAGATCCAGTGTACCATTTTTGATCCTTTTAAAAAGATAATAGATTCTTATCTTTCCATAGTGTATTTTAGTTTGGTCACCTGACTCTATCCTCTGATATCTGATTGCATAAACATGAGTTAAAATAGAACCAAGCTTCTCATCATTCTACCCAAAGCAACTCTATTCTGTCATCATTATTCCTGCTTTCCTAGATACTAAGGGTTAAAACCTTGGAATCATTCCTGACTCTTACTCTTCTTCTCCTTTAATATCAAGTTCATCTCCAGGTCATAACTATGATTTTTTTCAGTGTCTCACACTCCACTGTCTTTTTGTGTTTTCCGTTATCTCCACCTTAATCCTGGTACTCATTACTCCTAGACCACTGCAACAGTCTAATTGGTCTGCCTCCAGTCCTTCCCCACTCCATTGCATCTTGTACATAACTTAAAATCCTATGAAATCTGACCATTACCCAGATCCCAACTTCATCTGCAGTTGCCCAAGAGAACCAATCAAAATGGAATTTTTCATTATTTCCTGTATATGCTATCCATATTGCCAGCTTCTTAATGGCAAAAGTAATTGCCCCACTGCCCAATCCCCAGCCTGATGCCAAACCAACCTTCACCTTAAGCCTTCCTCTTTGCCCTAGCCAGCATTAATTGGCTATACTCCCATTCATCAGGTGCTAACCATGTCTGTTCCATTGTAGTATTTACGTTTTATTTGTCTGCCTGCAATAGGAGAGTATATGCCTTTGATGGACAAGATTAAGTCTTAAAATCTCTCAGTATCCCCTACTGTGTTGGTAGATAATAATAGATGAATGGATGAGAAGGTGGACTTTGATATGACATAAAGCTGGGTTTGAATTCTGGTTTTGCCATCTTTTGACTATAGGACCTTAAGTGAGTTACTACACTTTTATTTCTTCATATGCAAAATGAACATGATTAAAACCCTGTCACAGGATTTTTGAAAGCATTAGATAGGATAGATATGTATGAAATGTGCTTAACAGTGCCTGATATATAATAAATAATAAATGGTTGCAATTATGATTATTCTAACTGCTTAGTTAATGTTTGTCAGCCACCATTAATGATGCATCTTCAAGAACTTTATAATTTTTCCTTTTTCATCAGATGACTACAAATATATAGTTACAGTGTGAAGGTATAGATATCACTAGGCTATATGGACTTGAATGTAGGGTCTGTTGTTGTTTTCTTATGTAGAAAAATGATTTGTTTCAAGAAATTGTTTCACTCACTTATAAACTAACCTCTTGTAAAAAAAGAAACACAGCTTTGTAAAAAATGAAACCAAAACCAAATCACCTTTTTTGTATATAGATATTGCTTCTGTTCTAAGAAAGACTCCACCTCCACCACTACCTCTGTGGTGCTGGGGATTAAATCAGGGCCTCACACATGGTAGGCAACAAGAGACATTTTTACAGCACAAAGGAGTATCTTCTCATATAGAGAAAATAATTATGAAACTAAAATATACTTATAAAAAAGGGCTAAATCTTAGAAAAATTACCCTTTTATATGCTGTATCAGTTTACTTTTACCATTTTAATGTTAAATGAATTCATTTTCAGAAACTAAGGTAGCTAATAAAAAATCTAAAGTTACTTTTTAAATTTCAGGGTAAGTACCAAACATTTTAAAACTTGAATGTGATGGTAAAGTAATAAAATGCAAGTGTTATAAAAATAATGTTAAAATATTATTAAAGAATGCTCTACTCATAAATAAACAAAAAGTCGAATAAATTAGCCTTGGAGTGAAAAAATAGCAAACTGTACCAGTACACAGGTAATAATTCACCAGAGTGTTCTGGGGACATTACTTTAGCAGCCATTTCCCACAAGTAGCTGGGGCTGGCAGCATGGCCAGATAAAAATAGAAGAACCAAAGGAGTTGCAGGGGCACTCCAACACTCTTAGGAGGGATATCTGATACAAAGTATATTCATTCAACATGGAATTTGTTATCACTTGTGTTTGCCTAATCTAGAATAAAAGATGGAATCCCTGGTCACTTTTTTTTCTGCCTTCTTCAATTATAAAGCCCATTTTATAATCTTTTTATTTCTTTTTTTTTTTTTTTACCCCCTAGGGATCACATGCAGTGGTCTAAAGAAGAAGAAGCAGCAGCCAGAAAAAAAGTAGAAGAAAATTCAGCTGTGCAAGTCATTCCAGAAGAGCAAGGTAGCCTATGACATTGTGGCTCCTAGAGCCAGACTTCTCTTACCTTCCACTGGTTCAGTTCATAGCTAGCTGGTGTCATTGCTTCTGAGAGTTCATAGCTTCTACCTAAGCCAGTTAGTCCACTTGTTCCCTTTGGTAGAATTCCTAGTTCTTCCAGGGTAGTAGGACCAAAATTAATGAAATAAATTATGTATTCACCCTATAATTGGTCTTTTGGTAGTCATAATGCTTTTTCTGGAAGATACACATATGGATGGCATTTAAAACAAGATATGAAAATATAACTTTAAATTTTTCTTCTTGCTATGCTACTTTCAGTATGCTATTGTGCTTTTCATTTGCTAGGAACTTTGAACATATTCAAAGTGAAGAAGATAAAGTCATATCAAAGTTTCAATAAAGATCAAAAGCATTTTTTCTTGGAGGACTATGTATTTAGAGTTTAATTTAGGTAAAGTCTTGTCAGCCTTCACAAACGGCTTTTTAAAAAATTGGCCTGTGCTACTGTCAAAAAAATAGAAAATGAAAAGTGTTGACAAGGATGTAGAGAAATAGGAGCCCTTGTGCACTATTGGTGGGATTGTAAAATGGTGCAACCACTATGGAAACCAGTATAGAAGTTTCTCAAAAAATTAAAAATAGAATTCCTATTATGATCCAGCAAATCATTTCGGGGTTACATTAAAAAAAATTGAAAGCAGGATCTCAAAGTGAGATTGCATTCCCATGTTCATAGCTGCACTATTTATGATGAGCTGCTGTGAAGACACAGAACAAAAGATACCATTTCAAAATGACTCAAAAAGGTAGAAATTTCCACTACATCCCTTCTGCATCCTTCCTGCAACACTACTCAGTGCAGTGGGCTTCATGTGTATGTCAAAGGACCACAGCAGTAGGAGGAATACATTATGAAGTGACCATCTTATTACACTTAAAGCAAGGTTGCACAGAGTAGTAGCTAAAGCTGCTAGGAGGCTGCCAAAGGAAGAAGACTGGTGTTCTAAGGACAAAAGGTGGAAGCAACACAACCATGTTGGATGAATGTTATAAACAAAATGTAGTATATACATAAGATGGATGTTATCCCACCTTAGAAAGAAAGAAATCCTGTCACATACCACCGAATAAGCCTTTAGGACATCATGCTAAGTGAAATAAGCCAATCACAAAACAGAAAAATACTGTATGATCCACTTACCTGATGTATCTAAAGTAGTCAAATTCATAGAAACAGCTGAATGGTTGTTGCCAAGAGTTGGGGGGTGGGAAGGGGGAAAAGGACCGCTATTTGGTAGATTTAGAGTTAATGTTTGGCAAAATGGAGACATTCCAGAGATCTGTTTCCCAACAATGTGAATATACTTAACACTACTGAACTTAAAAATGGTTAAGATGTTAAGTTTTATCTTGTGCATGCTTTTCACAATGTTTTTTTAAAAAGCACAGGAAGGAAAGGATGGAGGGATGAAGAAAAGAGAAAAGAAAAGAAGTTGGCCTATGTCCTCACTGTATAACTGGGAACCCACAGATCCTCTGCCCAACTCCTACCCTGTCCATATGGGATTTTCCACCTTATTTTTCTTAAAGTGATATCTTCTTTAGAACATGTTGGTTCTTTTTTTCTTTCTTTTTTAAAAAATAGTTTATTGAAGTATCAAATAGATACAGAAATTTATGCAATTTATAAACGGATTTTCACAAAGTTCAGTGAATTTTCAGAAAATGAATATATCTATGTAAAAAGCACCCACATCAAGAAATAGAATATTACCAGTAACCTAGCAGCTTTCTCATGCTCCTTCCCAATTATAGTACTCCCACAGACCTCTTACACATAAAAGAATAGCCCCCATTCTGGCCTCTAATACTATGGATTAGTTGCCAGAACACTTGGTTCTGGTCATCATATTCTGATCACTCTTATAGCAATGTAAGTATAACCTAATGATAAAGTGAGAGTCAGCAAACTATTGCTTATGGGCCGTATCCAGCCTGCTTCCTATTTTTATAAAATTTTATTAAAAAACAGACTTACTCATCTCTTGACATACTGTCCATGGCTGCTTTTGAGCTATAAGTACAGAGTTAAATAGCAACAGAAACTGAATGTGTTCAACAAAGACCAAAGAACTTACTACCTGGTCCTTACAGAAAATATTCTACAAGTTCTAAGGTAATTTTTTTTTCATAGATTGATAGCTGTCCTGAAACTCCCAGAGAAAAATGTTTGCTTCCTGTGTAAGCCAAACAGCAAAAATCATCAATTCCATTGGTGGTTAACTGTTATTCTAGTAACTTTAGTCTACAGTTGAGGCTGAAGTTCTTTGAAACAAAGGTAGTTGTAAAGACTGAACTAGTGAGACAGCCCTCATTAGCTCTGCCCTTAATCAGTGAAGATAGCAATGCTAACCTAGCCTCTCTTGGTATCATGGATAACCTATCTTAACCTCTGTCATTGTTTGCTATGCCTTATAGGTAGTTCTTCTTCCTCCTCCTAAACATTAATGTGTCTTTGGGGATGGACAGTAAAGAAGAGCACCTGATTCACGGTGGAATCATTCTGTTTTTATAAGTTCCAACGGTGCAGTCCCAGGATGGAATATGGCCAGGGAGTGTTGGGGCTGGATTTGAGGGTACATACCAGTGGCAATACTGCCTACAGATCAGCCAACATTGCATTCCTTTGCAGGACTCTGTCACACTGTTTTTGAGGAAGTATAACTTTGCTTCTTTTCCAGCAGCTGCACAGACATATTTTCCACATTACTCAAACTTCTGCTAGTGGCCACCTGGATTTGACAGAGAGTCAAGCCTAAACTGAATTAAAAGTTATCAGTCATTTTAATTCACTTCCAGGAAGTTGAAAATGATCCACAGTGTATTTCCTGATAATGCAAAAAAACCAAGTTTTTTTTAACCCTCTTTTGAATATATCTGTTCAGATCATAGATAGATGAGCATGGCTGATACTGTTCCTTTAAAGTGCTCTGTACACGGCTGCCTATTTTGTCCTATTTATGTTAACAATGAACTTGAGTGAAGCTAATGAGAAGGTTATTTTAGGGCCTCGGAAACTGCAGTAAAGGAAAATGACAGTTCCCACAGAACCATAGTGTGACCAAAATAGAAAGGTGGTGACTGGCCTCTCTCTATAGAAACAGGAAAAGCAGGCAAGAGAGGGCTGATGGTGCCACGTTGAGGCATTTGATTTGCTTATTAGTATGTCCATTCTTTTCTGTGGAAGTTTTCTAGCTGCTCAGAAGAAACAGAGCAAAAGATTCCATTTCAAAATGACTCAAAGGCATACAGGTTTCTGCTGGGTCCCCTCTGTTTTCCCCCATAACACAATTTGGTACAGTGGGCTTCTTGTATGTCAGGGAACCACTGTAGGGGAAGGAGTGCATTATGAAGTGGCCATCTTATCACACTTAAAGCAAGGTGGCACAGAGAAGTAGCTGAGGCTGCAGGGAGACTTGTGTTCTGAGGAACTATGTCAAATGATAGGACATTGTAATGAGAGCCATTACAGTGCAGTTTCTGCTAGTGCTCATAGACCTACCACTCTGCCGAAGCCCCGGGTGAGGCTTCCAATTTGATATTCTCTGATGAATATGGGTCAGGGTGAATAGACTGTTTAAAAGCTCTGCTCCCAAATTTTGTGAGAACCCCAAGAAAGCCTTGATCTGGCTCTTTTACCACTGCCTCTGTTAACCATCTTTTCTTACCTAGGAGAGTTTTTAAAGTTTTTAAAGAGCCAAGCTCTCCCATCACAAAGTATTCTGTGTACAGATCATTATACAGTAGGTGTTGGGAGTCGCCCAAGTTCCAAAAACTAACTTCCCCATCCCCGGAGAAGAGCTATCCAATGGTGAGCCTGCTGGCTCACATGATCCTTACCCACCAATCACACTAGCCCTGCTGGCTCACATGATCCTTACCCACAATCAGAAAACACCCCATGCCAACTGTCAAACCCTTCAACTGTTTAACTGTCAAACCACCCCCGGCTCTATAAATATACAGAGCTGTTCTTCAATAAATGGGCATTTTCTCCAACGATGAGCCTTATTCGTTCTTTCAGTAGGAGCACTGTTTATTGATCTTATCTCACTTTATTAATGCCACTGGGAGGAAATACTAGTTGTTCTCCCATGCTGGCCAATTCTGGCTCATTTCTCTTAGTCTCTCTATGTTATACTCTCCTGTCACTCCCGTCTCCCACTTCTCACCTATTGTCTCATCTGTTGGTGAGAACCAATGCCAGGAAACACCCCCATAACCTGAAAATAAGAAGTTATGCGTCACAAATAATAATCTTTTGCTGAATGGTGGTTGACAATCTTGTTTCTATGGTTAAGATGCATAGCATTCAGGCTCTCCTTAGTAATATTTCATTCAGTTAGATTGCCAGAGTAAAGATTTTTGATTCCACATTTACTTTTTGTAATTACTTTTAAATTTTATTATAGCTCGTATTTATTTTAAATGAAGGTTAACTCAGAAATGAGAAAGATATATTTGGCAGTTTTGAGTTTATATGGTTATATTTTATAATTTTCTAAGAAGATCTCCAGTGTGTTATATCTCAGCTGGTTACATAGCTAATGTAATAGGTATTTTAAACTTTTTTTAAAAAAGTATTTTTAGTTGTAGATGGACACAATACCTTTATTTTGTTTATTATTTTATGTGGTGCTGAGGATTGAACCCAGGGCCTCACATGTGCTAGGCAAGTGCTCTACCACTGAGTCATAATCCCAGCCCAGGTTTTTTAAACTTAGTAACAAAAGCAGATGCTATTTCCACTTTAAAATATCTTTGTAAAGAACTACCTACCTAGGATGGGTCATCTCTATCAAGTAAAATAATAAGAGTCTTGTTGTACCCTGCCTTGTGAATACCTTACTACTTAAGAGAATGTTCTATATGAAAAAAAGAAAATGAATGGCAAAGTTCTTTGAAGCAAAGGTAGTTGCAGAGACTGAACTCGTGAGATA